TCAAATAGCATAGAAAGATAGAGCTTTTTTTTCTCTATCAGACTATACAGAAAGAAAATTATTTAAATCAATTACACGGTATTAAAATGTCACTGCCCGTACTTTTGGTATGCCCTAAGTATTATATTTTACATGTATCTTATTTGATCAATTTTCTTTAATTTGTTTTTTTTTCAGATCAACAAGTGAAAAGATATCATATCATTTTATACATGCAAAATCATCAGTTTTATTTGAAAATACATCAATTCTTGGAATCTTTATCAAAGTTGTTGTTCATTTTTTATTATTATCAATTATTCAACATAAATGTACGATGTTTAATACCAATTTACCAATAGTACAATGTAGTAGTATGTCAAACTTGATTCATCTTTTAGCACCATATGTAAATACACTACGAAAATATTGTACTAAATGTAAGATATCAATTCCGTATGTTTCAATCGCTGATATTGCATACTTGCTCGTAAAAAATAAAAGCAATGAATGTACCATATCGATTGATACAAATGTTTATTCAAAACACCAACAGTTTCGTTTATTCAATAGTGTAAAATATGGAAAAAATAATCCTCTTGTTCCATCAACTATATTTCCTTTTGATCGTCAATTACAATATTCATCGTCTGATCTTCTTAAAAAATCTTTAATCACATTCATCGAAGACGACCACATATCAAAAATTTATTTTAAGAACAAGAAATTTATGATTGATTTATCTTCCATTTCTAATCAAATACCTATATTATCATGTAATTTTATAGATATTAAATTAATAAATCAATATATAGATCCTTCGTTTTTTCGTAATCCATCCACAAATATTAATACAGATCGAAATTTGGCACATTCAATACATGTTAATACAATTACTGATCTGAATTTATCTGTAACAAATATACAAGTATTAGTTAATTTTATACAACATATAATTACATCTGAATCATCTCATCAAGGTTATATATGTTCATGTGTTCGTGGTACTTATAATAAGAATATATTATTTTTTTTTTTTTATATAGCTGGTAATTACAGATATTGTCCAAAAAAAGAAAGGTCATCATCAACGTAATACTGTAGCTATCATGATAAATACTAAAAACTATACATATTGTATTCGATGTAAAGATACCGAATGTAATAATACTGTATTGTCGTGGAAAAGAATAAAATGACTTTTTTTAAACTTAAGTCATAAATGTTTCATTAATTAATATACAAAACTTTTATTAACTAAGAAACAATAAATTGATGTATCTGTTATTACAATGCCTAATCATAGAAGAAAACACCTTTGTTTCACATACTTGTTTCTCTGTTTTCCTTTTCTCCTTTTTTTAGTAATTTTTTTCACTGATTATTACCTATTATCCAATCATTTTTTTACATATAATAAAAGTTTTAATCCGATACGAGGGTGTGGGTGTGGGTGGGTGTGTGGCTGTGGCTGTGGGATGTGGCTGTGGCCGTGGGTGTGGATATCTTCTCATCACCCATACCCTCACCCACACCCACACCCTCCAAATAGAGATTTATGGAACGATTTTTATCTAATTTCTCGATAGTTGGTTACTAGTATTCAAAAGTCAACTCGGGCTAGCTTTACTATAATACATCCAAATGAGCTAAACATTTTCGTTTAGTAGTTTTAGATAATGGTCTTTCGAATGCATTTAAAAAATCAAACATTTAAAATTTTTCCAGTGCCTCGGTTCATCGGTGCCTCTATGGATGCTCTCTTAATCGTTTTGTATTTTATTTGTTTGATAAAGTTGTTAAAAAAGATATGAATGCTACGTTATACGAGGAGTATCCTTATTTTCATAACATCGATATATTCATCACATGTTCATTAATAAATGTTACTTTGGGTGTGGGTGGGGTGTGGGTGTGGGTGTGGGG